TCTTAAGAGTCATTTTTGAAGCAGCAAATATTCCAGAATTTGTAAAGGGGAGAAGGTGTTCCTTTGCACTGAAAAACAAATATAGGTATGAAATTGAACTGATGCCATAAGGTTTCGTGCCATAAGGTTTCGGAACGAGCACAAGGGTAGTATAATAAGCATGAACCTTTCCTGAACTATGCATTGTGTCCTTAAAATGCCTAAAATCCTACCTGATGATGTAAGATCAGTAAAACCCGTCTTCAAGCTTATAAAAGGACCCACAGAATCAGTTTACGTGCCTAAAATCTACGTGAAAGAAGAATATGGGTATTAATATTTACCTGAAGGTGCAGTAAGGACCCTGAAACCTGTCTGAGAGTGATTTATGGACCCTAAAATCTCCTTGAAGGTGGTATATATGGCCTGGAACTTACCTGAAGTTGAGTACTGGATCTGAAATGCCTGAAGGTTGAGTACTGCAATGGAAGCTTACCCAAAGTCAGTAGTAGTAATGGGCCGAGAAGCCACCTGAAGTTGAAGTACTGTGCCTAGAATTTGCCTGAAGTTGGAGAAGAGAACTTGAAACTTACCGGAAGTTTGAGTACCAGGTCTGAAACCTAACTGACGTTGGCGAACTGAGCCTGGAACCTATCTAAAGTTTGAGAACTAGGCTTGGAACCTGCCTGAAGTTGGAGTGCTTGGTGTGAAACTTACCTGACGTTGGGAAACTAAGCCTGGAACTTACCTAAAATTGAAGAACTGAGCTTGGAACCTACCTGAAGTTGGAGTAACTGGCATGAAAGTAGCCCCGCTCGATGTCGTGCATGAGAAAGCGGACCTCGTAGGGCTGACGGTAGGTGAGAGCGTGAAGAGCTCCCAGACCGAACCACCACTCTCCCTCCCCCGGGATGCCGAAACCTTGGCGGTACTCAGCCCACGTTCTGTTGGAGAAATTCGCAGAAAAAAACAATAAAAAATATATAGAATAATATTCACTCTAAAAAGCTATTTGTTTTTTTTACTGATGCCACACAAAAAAAGGGAGAGATAATGAAGGCAACATTCACCAGACAATCTGTGAAATGACTTTCATCTTCTGAAACATTGTAAAATATTTGTTGAATAAATATGTTGGAAAATAATTGGGGAAACATTATTTTTTTATATTATTTGGGAGAACAAACTTATTTAAGAAATAAATAGATTTGGAATTATTTTGAAGAGCTAAATACGTATCTAAACTGAATCTCTCTCTCTCTCTCTCTCTCTCTCTCTCTGTATATATATATATTTATATATATATATATATATATATATATATATATATATATATATATATATATATATATATAAAGTCGCCATATATGGTATATATAAGAGAAGAAAAATGACCGAGTGAAAATAGGACCAGTAAGCCTATTACTACTATGCTCCGTTGTATCTACTATGCGGAATGTATTTTAGATTGCAAGAATATTTGTATAGTTGATACTTTGTAAAGAGAGAGAGAGAGAGAGAGAGAGAGAGAGAGAGATAAAGCAAACGTGAAAGCATTGTGTGAGGGAGATCACGGCTTACCTGTTGAAGTTAGTAAGTCCGAATGTAGTATTACGCCTCCTGAGTATAACGGTCCACCCTCCTGTCTCCTTAGCATTCTCGTCGCCCATTTCGCAGAAAGCAGATATGGGAGCCTAGAAAATAGTATGAAGATTCTTCTTTAAGGTTTATCACACGCGTTTACATTAAAAAAAATCAGCCTCGAGAACGAGATTGGAACCCAGACATAAGCAGTCTTGAAACTACCATCGGGGTCGCGCTGTCGTAACATACAGAATAAAGAACAAGGTGAACAGTGAGGGGAAAAAATGAAAGCTGAAGAGAGCTGTAAGCGAAAAGAAGGAAAATGATGACAGAGAGTTTCAGAAATGAAAGACTCTTGCTTTCCATGAAAGCTGTCAGGGTGAGAGACGGCCGCATCTTGATACCGCCTCCCTCTTGCTTTATGAGCTCCCAGGCAAGCACTTGAAATTGCAAGCTGACACCTGTTGCAGTTATTAGTATTTTATCTGAGAATGGGGAAGAGAGGGGCCCTGAGGAATTATATAGCGTCTGGGCTGGATTAAGGGCCTACTGCGCCTGTGAGATGATAATTTTTAGTAGGCCTACAATACAACCTAAAATTCAAAATAACAGAAATTTCTGACGTTGCTTAAAATGTCTCAAAAAAAAAGCTCTTAATTTAGATGTGCTTATTCTTGCTATGAACTTTCAGCACCTTCAGATCCCGTCTTCAAGAAGCCATCTTTAAATATGCGGAATTCCACTTATATGAGCCTGGTCAGAGACCGGGCCGCGGGAGAGTTGACCTCCGGAACCCTCTCCAGGTATACTCCAAGTATAATCTTGAAATATAATACTGTGACCTTGGAAGAATTCTAGAATACACTAATATAAATTCACCCCAATATTATGATATATATACCGGGTAAATATCACACTGACAAAAAACATAACATGGAAAGGATTTGATCATTTCTACTCTGTGTTTTGTTTTCCGCCCATATGGAATTTACATATTCATTGTGCTCCATGCTGGCAGAGTTGTGGCTTTTTTATTGGTAGTTATCATGAAAGTAATGACAAGAGGGGAAGGGAGACAGAAGAGAGGAGAGAATTGAAAAGGATAAACTAGCGGAAATAAGTCGTTATACACTTGGGATAAACAAGAAGGTGCTGAAAGGCATGAAGTATAATAATGGAATTACCGACAGAATGTTAGGTAAACGGGCACAGATGCAACTAATGTGACATTTTATTGTGGTAACGTTTCGCTCTCCAGGAACTTTTTCACAGTAAAATGTCACATTAGTTACATCTGTGTCCATTTGCCTAACATTCTGTCGGTAATTCTACCATTACTACTTCTTGCATTTTAGGCTGATTGTTGGGTTACCTTTGGAATTTACTGCTCTACTTCAGGATCCAGGATTTGTTATGTCTGGGACTTTGTTTTTCTACCTTAAAAGCTATGGATGGTCTGGAACACACACGCTACTGTACCTTACTGTCCATAGTTGGGTAAATCTGGAAGACACCAGTGGGAGCCTCGGGTTGTTGCCAGTGGTGATCAGAACAATCTCTTGGGAGGAATCCTGGGGTTTCTCGTGCCTTTTCCAGGGTCGATATCAACTCTATGGCAATCTGTAGCAAACAATTTGCAATGTACACTTGGATAACCATACATCTTACAGTTACGTTTTTCTCTTGATCATTATTACCGTAAATGTCATAATAGAATATGATATCGATATTCACTTACGGGTGTTCAGCCAGCAGTGAGAAGATACGGAGTGAGTAAAGGATGGAGGAAGGAAGGGAAGGAGAGAGCAAGGGAGCCAGGGAGGGAGGGAAGGAAGAGGGATTATGGGAGTGAATGAGTTGAAACACAACACACTGCGTCTTGCTCTTGTTCCATGACCAGGCTGCAGAACACCGCTCAACAAACAGTTACCACGACCACTGATTAAATAGGTCGAGCCGCCATGTTGTTAATATTTAATGTAGCAAACAGCTATAGTATGGCTTTTTAATGTAGGCTATGCGATTTTGTTTTTGCGTACTGAAAAAATTCGTTACACTATTACAGAGATGTGCTATTTAATGTAATTTAAAAATTTATATTTATATTTATTCAGTTTTGCTACTAAACGAAAGGGTCGGTAAGAAATTTCATTTCTTTCATTAGAGAGAGAAAGAGAGAATGAAATTGCTTAACGTGTGAGTGTGTGCGTGAATGTGTATGAGTGTGTGCTCACCTAGTTGTGGCGGCAGAGATCGAGTTACAGCTCCTGACTCCGCCTCTACACTTTGTGACTGAAGAAATGCTTCCTAACATCCCTGTGATTCATCTGAGTCTTCAACTTCCAACTGTGTCCCCTTGTTGTGGTGTCCCATCTCGAGAACATCCTGTCTCTGTCCACCTTGTCGATTCCTCTTAGTATTTTATATGTCGTTATCATATCCCCCATATCTCTCCTGTCCTCCAGTGTCGTCAGGTCGATTTCCATTAACCTCTCCTAGTAGAACATGCGCCTTAGCTCCGGGACTAGTCTTATTGCAAACTTTTGCACTTTCTCTAATTTTCTTAAGTGCTTGGCTAGGTGTGAGTTCCAAACGGGTGCTGCATATTCCAATATAGGCCTGACATAACGGTGTACAGGGTCCTGAAATTCCTTACTGAGATGTCGGAATGCTGTTCTTAGGTTAGCTAGGCGCCCATATGCTGCAGCAGTTATTTGGTTGATGTGCGCGGTGTTATACTCACCCCAAGATCATTTTCCTTTTGTGAGGTTTGAAGTCTCTGGCCCCCTAGACTGTACTCCGTCTGCGATCTTCTTTGCTCTTCCCCAATCTTCATGACTTTGCACTTGGTGGGTAGAACCCCAGGAGTCAGTTTCTGGACCAGGCCTGCAGCCTGTCCAGATAGCTTTGTAGTTCCACCTGGTACTCGTCCAATTGAATTCTTCTCATCAACTTCACATCATCTGCAAACAGGGACACTTCCGAGTTTATTCCTTCCGTCATGTCATTCACATATACCAGAAACAGCACCGGTCTTAGGACTGACCACTGTGGAAACCCGCTCGTGACAGGCGCCCCCTCTGACACCTCTCCACGTACCATGATTCTCTGATCCATTGCAGTGCCTTCCCTGTCATCCCTGCCTGGTTCTCCAGTTTTTGCATTAATCTCTTGTGTGGAACTGTGTCAAACGCTTTCTTGCAGTCCAAGAAAACGAAATCTCTCCACCCCTCTCTCTCTTGTATTACTGCTGTCACCCTGTCATAGAACTCCAGTAGGTTCGTGACTCAAGACTTCCTGTCTCTGAAACCGTGCTGGTTGTCGGTTACAAGCTCATTCCTTTCTAGGTGCTCCACCACTCTTCTCCTGTGTGTGTGTGTGTGTGTGTGTGTGTGTGTGTGTGTGTGTGTGTGTGTGTGTGTGTGTGTGTGTGTGTGTGTGTGTGTGTGTATGTGTGTGAGTGTACTCACCTAATTGTACTCACCTAATTGTGGTTGCAGGGGTCGAGATTCAGCTCCTGGCCCCGCCTCTTCACTGATCGCTACTAGGTCCTCTCTCTGCTTCCTGATCTTTGTCATACCTCGTCTTAAAGCTATGCATGGTTCCTGCCTCCACTACGTCACTTGCTAAACTGTTCCACTTCCTGAAGACTCTATGACTGAAGAAATATTTCCTAACATCTCTGTGACTCGTCTGAGTCTTCAGCTTCCAATTGTGACTCCTTGTTTCTGTGTCCCCTCTCTGGAACATCCTGTCTCTGTCCACCTTATCTGTTCCACACAGCATTTTGTATGTCGTTATCATGTCTTCCCTAACCCTCTTGTCCTCCAGTGTCGTCAGGCCGATTTCCCTCAACCTTTTATGGGACATTCCCCTGAGCTCCGGAACTAGCCTTGCTGCAAACCTTTGTATTTTCTCTGATTTCTTGACGTGCTTGACGTATTTGACGTGCTTGTGTGTATGTGTGTGTGTATGTATGTGTGTGTGTGTGTGTGTGTGTGTGTGTGTGTGTGTGTGTGTGTGTTGTGTGTGTGTGTGTGTGTGTGTGTGTGTGTGTGTGTGTACTCACCTACCTAGTTGTACTCACCTAGTTGAGGTTGCGGGGGTCGAGTCCGAACTCCTGGCCCCGCCTCTTCACTGATCGCTACTAGGTCACTCTCCCTGAGCCGTGAGCTTTATCATACCTCTGCTTAAAGCTATGTATGGATCCTGCCTCCACTACATCGCTTCCCAAACTATTCCACTTACTGACGACTCTGTGGCTGAAGAAATACTTCCTAACATCCCTGTGATTCGTCTGTGTCTTCCGCTTCCAACTGTGTCCCCTTGTTACTGTGTCCAATCTCTGGAACATCCTGTCTTTGTCCACCTTGTCAATTCCTCTCAGTACTTTGTATGTCGTTATCATGTCCCCCCTATCTCTTCTGTCCTCCAGTGTCGTCAGGTTGATTTCCCTTAACCTCTCCTCGTAGGACATACCTCTTAGCTCTGGGACTAGTCTTGTTGCAAACCTTTGCACTTCCTCTAGTTTCTTCACGTGCTTGGCTAGGTGTGGGTTCCAAACTGGTGCCGCATACTCCAATATGGGCCTAACGTACACGGTGTACAGGGTCCTGAATGATTCCTTATTAAGATGTCGGAATGCTGTTCTGAGATTTGCTAGGCGCGCATATGCTGCAGCAGTTATTTTGTTGATGTGCGCTTCAGGAGATGTGCCTGGTGTTATACTCACCCCAAGATCTTTTTCCTTGAGTGAGGTTTGTAGTCTCTGGCCCCCTAGACTGTACTCCGTCTGCGGTCTTCTTTGCCCTTCCCCAATCTTCATGACTTTGCACTTGGTGGGATTGAACTCCAGGAGCCAATTGCTGGACCAGGTCTGCAGCCTGTCCAGATCCCTTTGTAGTTCTGCCTGGTCTTCGATCGAGTGTGTGTGTGTGTGTGTGTGTGTGTGTGTGTGTGTGTGTGTGTGTGTGTGTGTGTGTGTGTGTGTTTGTATGTGTGAAAGAAAACAAAACACGAATAACTCAAATTAAAAACTATACCAAAATAACTCGATTCACACCCAACAACAACAACAACAAAAATAAAACTCCGGAACAAATACACACACACCAAAAAAATCCACGAAAAAGAGTAAAGCAAAGAAACAAAACAAACTGCGGATGAGCGAAAACCGATATTACGTTTGTAAACAAAAGTGGCTGAGATGCCAGCTGCTGCAAACAACAGCCGGGTCCTGCTGAAACCTGTTTACGTTTCCTCTGGCCTCGGAGATCACATTTCAACACCGCTAGGATACACACAGGCCTGGCTACCTTTAAATACCGCTGGAATATATATATATATATATATATATATATATATATATATATATATATATATATATATATATATATATATATATATATATATATATATATACATATATATATATATATATATATATATATATATATATATATATATATATATATATATATTCATATATGCTTACGTTTGCGTATATACTAATAGTGTGTGGAGTTATACTCAGCAGACCTTGAATGGGTGATGTGACTCTCGTTCATGAGAGAACAGTGGAATACTGTGTTCTTCGGGGAGAAACACGTCGCAGGATGGTCAATATTTTCCTAAAGTTCTGTTTATAGAGATAGTGATGGTTGTTGGTGATGATGGTGGTGGTGGTTGTGGTGGTGGTGATGGTGGTGGTGGTGTTGGTGTTGGTGGTGATTATGGTGATGGTGGTGGTGTTGTTGGTGGTGATTATGGTGATGGTGGTGATGGTGGTGGTGTTGGTGATGGTGGTGATGGTGGTGGTGATGGAGATAGTAATTTTGAAGGTGATGCTGGGATAATGATTGTGCTGGTGATGGTGATTGTGTTTGTGACTGAGGCCAAGATAAATGGTGATGGTAGTTGTGATGGTGATGGTAGTGATGATAATGGTAGCGAAGATGGTGATGGTGGTGGTGAAAATGGTAGCGAGGATGAAATTCTGGTGGTGATAATGGCAGGGATTATAGTGATAATGGTAGAGATTGTAGTACAGATGATTGTGGTGACGATGGTGATGATGTTGGTGGTGACGATGGTAGTGATGATGTTGGAGAATGTGGCAGAGATGATGGTGGTGGTGATGGTGGTAGTGATAATGGAACAACAGTTTGTCTCTTATCAATGTCCACTATAATCTCTTGCTCATCACTATTAGTTCATGTTGTCTACCACTGTTGTTGTCTGTTATTTACCAGTTTTATAACATTAACAAAATCTACTCAGTCTACCACAGGTGTTGTCGTTACTGGTTTTGATGCTGTTGTAACATTGCTGTTATTGTCGTTTCTTTTACTACTTTTGAGGATTTTAAAGAAGGGCGTTCCTTTAATGATATAACTACTACTACTGCTACTACCACTACTACTACTACTACTACCACCACTACTACTACTACTACTACAACTACTACTACTACTACTACCACTACTACTACTACTTACTACTACTACTACCACTACTACTACTACTACTACTACCACCACTAGTACTACTACTACTACTACTACTACCACCACCACCACTACTACTACTACTACTACTACCACCACTACTACTACTACTACTATTACTACCACCACTACTACTACTACTACTACTACTACTACTACTACTACCACCACTACTACTACTACTACTACTACTACTACCACTACTACTACTACTACTACTACTACTACTACTACCACCACTACTACTACTTTTGAGGATTTTAAAGAAGGACGTTCTTTAATGATATAAGTACTACTACTACTACTACTACTACTACGCTACTACTACTACTACTACTACTACTACTACTACTACTACTACTACCACTACTACTACTACTACTACTACTACTACTACTACTACTACTACCACTACTACTAGTATATACTACAACTACTACACTATACTACTACTACTACTACACTACTAACTACTACTACTGCTACTACTGCTACTACTACTAACTACACTCATACTACACTACTAATACACACACTACTACAAAAACTACTACTACAAGGGGGGGGTTTTTTACGGTTTTATTTGGGGTAACTGGGTTTTTGGGTTTTTTTTTATTTTTTTAGGATTTTAAAAGGGCGTTTTTAATGAATAACCCAATGTATAATATTTTTCCCCCCCCCATATATACTATAAAAAATATATATTTCCCCTATTTTTATATATATTAAAAATCCTATATAAACCAATAAACTAATTTTATATAAAAAAAAATACTTAACCCAAAAATTTTTTTTTAAAAATTTTCTTTAATATATATAATCTATAAATTTTTTAAAAAAATATAAAATATATACAAATTTTTTTAAAAAAAAAATATATTTTGAGGATTTTTGGGCCTTTTTTAGATTAAAAAATTTTTTTATAAAACTCTATTAATATAATATAAATATAATTACTATACCACTAAATATATATATTTTAAAAAAATTTTAAAAATCATCTAAAAATATAACATAATATATAAAACTAAAATATTTTTATAATATTTAAAAAAATAAAAACAAATATAAATATAACTTTTACCCAAAATAAAATATATAAAAATTTTTTTTTTAAATACTTTAAATATATAAAATATACTATATATGTATTAAAAACCCTATTTATATATATATAATTTTCCTTTCCATAATACAAAACTACTATAGGGCCCAAATTTAAAATTTTATATAATTTTTTAAGTATAATAAAACCCCCCAATTATATTATAATAAACCTATAAATAAATATATATATTTTTAAATATATAGTATAATACTAATATATAACCCCCCCAATACAAAATTTTACTATATAATCCCTTTTAATCTTAAACCCATATAACTTATATCCAAATAAAAATTTTTTTTAATAAAATTAATAACCAAATAAATTTATAATAATATCATATTATTATATAAATAAATATTAAAATTTTATAATTATATATATAACCCAAAATATACTAAATTTTATAATTCCAAAAACTATTTTTTAGGATTTTTAAAAAAGGGTTTTTAATGATATAAGTCCCAAACCCTTTTAAAAACCCATTTTTAATTTTTATACCTCCCTCTATATATACCCAAAAATTTTAAATTTTATATTTAAAAAAAATATTTGGGGTAATATAAATATTTTAAAAAAAATATATATATCCAAAAAAATATTTTCTTTTTTTTTTTTTTAATATATCTTTTAAAAAAAAAACCCCACAAAATACTCTATAAATTTACGTTTTAATAACTCCCTTTAAATACCACCACTTCTACTACTACTACTACCACCACTACTACTACTACTACTACTAACCACTACTACTACTACTACTACTACTACTACTGCTACTATTACTACTACTACCACTACTACTACTACTACTACTACCACCACTAGTACTACTACTACTACTACTACTACTTCTACTACTACTACTACTACCACCACTACTACTACTACTACTACTACTACTACTACTACTACTACTACTACCACCACCACTACTACTACTACTTCTACTACTACTACTACTGCTACTATCACTACTACTACTACTACTACTACTAGTACTACTACTACTACATGCGCTATTACTATTACTTAATAATAACGCAGTTACAAATTATGTTACGTAAGCCAACACGGGATTTCGGTAACACTTTTTTTTTTTTATTTTTTTTTTTGTATTAGCTTGCCTTCAAACGAGGCGATTGTAAAGAGCTCTTGATTAAAGAAATTAGAGCTACCTTCCCCTTTCTCAGATTAAATCTGATAACCTCTAGTTCCCAGTCGCTCGTGATTCCTATTGATTTAACGTAATCACCTAAAACTAATAAACATTAAGAGTAATAAGCATTAAATTATTCCTGCACTAGTGCTACTCTTGCTAGTTCTAGTAATTTGTCCTAATGGTATAATTACTATTAATACTGTCACTACTACAACAAAGAGGTTTTCTATCACTAATTCAGCAACAGTACAAACTCTCTGCAGCATAAAACAGCACATACCACTCCAGGCTTTGAGTCCAGCAGAACCAGGGATTGTCAAGGTTTCCTATCTTACCTGGAGGGTGTTCCGGGGGTCAACGCCCCTGCGGCCCGGTCCATGACCAGGTTCTTGGAAGATTATTATTATTATTATTATTATTATTAGTAGTAGTAGTAGTAGTAGTAGTAGTAGTAGTAATAATAATAATAATCATGGTAGTAGTAGTGGTAGCAGTAGTAGTAGCAGTAGTAGTAGTAGTAGTATATTCCGTTTGATAACTAATCCCGTATGGATCATTCAACTATCGTGTAAGATTTAATTAAATTTGATTCCATATAGGTATATTTTGTCTATACTCAGACAGTCCATACATTATGAGAGGATCTCAGCTAGTCATTCAAAATATCCAGAACTCACCCTGTGGAGGTGGCTGCTCTTAAGCAGTTATCGGAGTGCTTGAAAGAGATTGGCTGAATCTACCTTCTTGGTTTAACAGGCCCACTACATTATACTGTTTAAAGTCACTTCCTAGAGAACTAAAGTTAAACTTACCGAGTCATTTAGGCAGGAGTGAGTGCCGGTTCCGGTTTCGCCGTCCCCGCTAGATAGCTTGTCATTGATCTTGGAAACATGGGTGTTAATGGTGTCGACGATAGAATGGCTGGAGGTGACAACGTTAGAGATGTGCGTCAGTTGATCTCTCAAGTTGGACTCCAAAGACGTCACCGCCGTAGTCACTGTGTTACTGATCCTTTGTTCCACAAGAGCCGAAGAGCCGGCTGGAACGGTCGCGTCTGATGGCAACAGGCTTCCAGACGACCGTGAAGCATTGCCGGCTAAAAGATTCATCAGAATGTTTATATTTCCCACGAACTTGTTCTCAAGTGCTGAAATTTTGACGTCAACGTGTTCCTCTATTTTCCTTCGAGCCTCGTCTAGGTCATTACGAACGTGGCCGTCGTAGTAGTTCTGCATCCAGGAGGTTATGGTCCTATTTATTTCGGCCATCTTATTATCCACGTGCCCGAGGTTGTTCATGATGTTGTTGTTGATGGCGCTAGTCTTAACTTCTACCTTCGACTTGACAGACTCTAACTTTTCATTCATTTCCCTCTGCAGTTGCTGGAATTGATTTTCCAACTTTTCCTGGAACACCTTGAAGATCTCTTGCGAGAGGTTATCGAGGCGGTCCCAGACAGACTGTAGCGGGTCCTCAACGGGGGTGTACTCATAATCTGCAGAAGAAGACGATGCCGACACCGCCACTAGCAGCCATAACACCCTAAAATCTCGGTAATTTATCATGACGCTGACGGAAGAGTATCTGGTGCTCACTACCTGGAAAATGGACACCTAATGTCTTCAAAGGAAAGACTGTTGGTATAGATATGTTTATATATTTCAGAGTTAGCTTTTCATTTCAGTATCAAAGGCATTTTTTTCTTCTTTCCTTTTGAAATTGTGTTTGTGAATTAACCCACACAAATATTTTCATTTATTTAAAAGCCAGAGTGGATAATTTCGCCGTATATTACTTTTTTTTTTTTTTAGAGAATTCTCTTCCAGTGTGTCCTCAAAAACGAGTGAGTGACCTTGTGACGTATTTTCTGGCACCCACCTGGACCGGGCCTGACCGATGAAAAGGAGAGGATGTCTTCGAAGCCCTTCAAGGTAAATCTTGCAGCAGCGTCCTCAGATGTTCCTGAGGTGACAAATGGACTGGAGAGCGGTGAGGGGGGCGAGATTAAATGAGGGGGTGAATGAGGAGGATGTGAAAGAGATAAGTTAAGTGAGGGGAGAGAGAGAACTTGAGGAACAGTGCCCACACTGCACCAAGGCTGAAGGGGAACTGGTTGGCTACATGGAGGAGATTCAACACAAATATCCCACACGAACACCAGCTCTCTGTTTACTCCTTGGAGATTCCCCCTCCTAACATTTTTTTTTTTACCTTCATTTCCTTATCTTTCTTTACTGTTCCTTGACGCTGTGAATGTTCTACTGTTACTTCATTACACTTAATTTCACTTGTTATTACTTTCTGTTTATTCTTTCTAATTATAATTCCCTTCTTATTATTCCATCCTTACTATTTCTTTCTGCTCATCTTTTTCTTGTTATTCGTTTCTTCTTATTATTTTTGTCATATTAGTCTTTTTTTATTTTCATTCTCTTCGTGTTATTTATTAGCTTCTTCTTCTTCTTCTTCTTCTTCTTCTTCTTCTTCTTCTTCTTCTTCTTCTTCTTCTTCTTCTTCTTCTTCTTCTTCTTCTTCTCTTCTTCTTCTTCTGCTTCTTCTTCTTCTTCTTCTTCTTCTCCTTCTTCTTCCACTTCCCCTTTCAATTCATTTCACTCTTTCCCACACTCAGACTGAATAAGTATTACCTAACATCCCTCCATGACTATATATATTTAACTTCCGTCTATGTCCTCTCGTTCCGGTTTCTCTGTTCTTTCGAATCCTCTGAATACTTTGTACAATGTTAACAAGTCTCCCTTTGGACCTTCTCTTCCCTCTCCTGGACACAAGATATCCTGGAGCGACTATAGGGACGATCGAAAAAACGGCTGCTGGAATGAGTTCGAGTAAATGTCACGAAACTCGGCGCAGAAATTTAAAAATTTTGTTTTTATTTAAAGGAGAGGCGTAGACTCGATCCTCCGTCAGCTAAACGTAAAACAGACCTAGTATCCAGCTGGATTTAAATGAAAAGTTTTAAGTACAGATAAGTATGGATTAGTAAAGTACAGATAAGTACAACGCTCAAGAGGGACAGTAATACATTATGTGTTAAAATAGAGAGAAAGAATAAAAAGTTAAATTAAACTCATAATAGGGAGAAAAAATAATGAATTACTGTCACACAATATTAAAAATTAAACTAATTCCTCGCTGATTATGTAATAAATTAAACAATAAATATATAACAATATCAAACATAAACACACCTCAGTCAGATATATCCTTACGTGCAGTACACTTTTCAAATATTATATTTTAAATACGGTAAACTAGATACACCTAAAGGCGTGTATCTCTCTGTTTATATATACTGACAGTTTAACTTAATCCCTCGGCTAACGATGAAAATTTTCTTAATTAGTGGTGAATACGTTACCTGTGGTCTAAAGACCCCATTTTAGGTGATAGGCTTTAATTAAATTATTCTGTGTTATGCGTACTGAGAGGTGTATGTCTTTTAGTTGGTTTAGAAAGACACGTAAGCAAACACTATAACATATTTATTAGAAAACGTTTCGGTCCTGGGACCTTGATCACTTCTAACATACAGAGGTAGAAAGACATTATATATATAGGCGGAGAGTGAGATGTGACGCACGTGACCTGAGGAATATCATAAGAACATAAGAATGGAGGAACACTGTAGAAGGCCTACTGGCCCATGCGAGGCAGGTCCTTATCAAAACAACCTCTGCCTATGATGAGGACCAGTAGACGATGAAATCATGTGACTCCTGTGTTGTTGGGTTGGTGCTGCTTAAATATCATGTATGCCAATGTTTTTGAAATTTTGTAGTTTCCAGTGTTGCGTTCTATAGTGTCGGTGACGGTGATTAGTGAGGCTTCTAGGCACCGTCGGCGTCTGAGGTCTGGTTCGGTGAGAACGAGTTGTGCCTCGTTCCAGTTCATCAAATGCCCGTGGAGTCTCTGTGGAGGACACAGGCGTACCTTACATCGTCTCTGTTAGAGGCATTTCGATGCTCATTCAGGCGGACTGCAAGATCTCTGCCTGTCTCGCCTACATATTTCTTGGGACAGAACCCACAGGGGATAGTGTAGACGCCTGCTGTAGAAGTTAGAGGTGTGGGGCTGCGTTTAGTAGTGAGGTCTTTGATAGAGGATGTGTTTATGGTGGAAACGTTGATGTTACTCATAGCAAGTGCCCGGCGAGTATTCGTGGCAACATCGCCACATGGGAGTACTATGAACTGTTTAGGGGGCTGTTCCATGGGCGGTTTGTTGAGGATAGCTTGTGCCTTGAGTCTGCAATCTCGGATGAAGAAAGATGGGAACTGAAGACGTGTAAAGGCTTGTGTTATGTAAGTGCATTCTTCTTCTAGAAAACAAGGGCTGGAGATGCGAAGAGCTCTCAAGAAGAAGCCAATGAGGACTCCTCTCTTAGTGCGGGTGTCTTGGTGTGAATAAAAGTGTATAAGATCGTCCTTGTTGGTAGGTTTTCTATACACTTTGAAGAGAAGTTTGTCACTGTCGGGAGATCTGCACAGTAGAACGTCGAGGAAAGGAAGTTTGCCATCATTTTCGAGTTCAAGTGTAAACTTTATTGATGGTTCAACTGCATTGATCTTGTTGAGAAGGGCCTGGATATTGAGACGTCTTGGATAGAAAACCAATATATCATCAACGTATCTTAGCGATCTAGTGGAACTGTGTGTTAATTTCAACTTCTTCAAGTATCAGGACAACTGTTACAAACAATGCTTTGGGATGGCAATGGGCAGCCCGCTCAGTGCTGTGCTTGCCAACCTCTTCATGGAAAACTTGGAGACAGAGAAATTCAGCACCCTCATTCCCAACACCGTTACCTGGCTAAGATACGTTGATGATATATTGGTTTTCTATCCAAGACGTCTCAATATCCAGGCCCTTCTCAACAAGATCAATGCAGTTGAACCATCAATAAAGTTTACACTTGAACTCGAAAATGATGGCAAACTTCCTTTCCTCGACGTTCTACTGTGCAGATCTCCCGACAGTGACAAACTTCTCTTCAAAGTGTATAGAAAACCTACCAACAAGGACGATCTTATACACTTTTATTCACACCAAGATACCCGCACTAAGAGAGGAGTCCTCATTGGCTTCTTCTTGAGAGCTCTTCGCATCTCCAGCCCTTGTTTTCTAGAAGAAGAATGCACTTACATAACACAAGCCTTTACACGTCTTCAGTTCCCATCTTTCTTCATCCGAGATTGCAGACTCAAGGCACAAGCTATCCTCAACAAACCGCCCATGGAACAGCCCCCTAAACAGTTCATAATACTCCCATGTGGCGATGTTGCCACGAATACTCGCCGGGCACTTGCTATGAGTAACATCAACGTTTCCACCATAAACACATCCTCTATCAAAGACCTCACTACTAAACGCAGCCCCACACCTCTAACTTCTACAGCAGGCGTCTACACTATCCCCTGTGGGTTCTGTCCCAAGAAATATGTAGGCGAGACAGGCAGAGATCTTGCAGTCCGCCTGAATGAGCATCGAAATGCCTCTAACAGAGACGATGTAAGGTACGCCTGTGTCCTCCACAGAGACTCCACGGGGCATTTGATGAACTGGAACGAGGCACAACTCGTTCTCACCGAACCAGACCTCAGACGCCGACGGTGCCTAGAAGCCTCACTAATCACCGTCACCGACACTATAGAACGCAACACTGGAAACTACAAAATTTCAAAAACATTGGCATACATGATACTTAAGCAGCACCAACCCAACAACACAGGAGTCACATGATTTCATCGTCTACTGGTCCTCATCATAGGTAGAGGTTGTTTTGATAAGGACCTGCCTCGCATGGGCCAGTAGGCCTTCTACAGTGTTCCTCCATTCTTATGTTCTTATGATATTCCTCAGGTCACGTGCGTCACATCTCACTCTCCGCCTATATATATAATGTCTTTCTACCTCTGTATGTTAGAAGTGATCAAGGTCCCAGGACCGAAACGTTTTCTAATAAATATGTTATAGTGTTTGCTTACGTGTCTTTCTAAACCAACTTGTCGGTATTTATTACCAAGGTTTATACCATGTCTTTTAGTGTATATATGAGAGATTACTTTAATCCCCAGGTAAAATGTAGACTCAGTTGCAAACGGAGAATTAACTGCCTTTAATATACCATATTAGGAAAATAAAATCGTGGTGCAGTGTTACCTGGAATATACGTGAAGGTTGTTTCGAGGGTCAACGCCCCCGGGGTCCGGTCCATGACCAGACTTTTCGGTGGATCAGGGCTTGATCATCCAGTTTGTTACTGCTTAGCCACACGCAAACCAACGTACGAATACACAGCCCGAAATTTGTCGACAGTTACAAATTGCGCTATTTTACAACCTAATTGGAACGGAGACTCGAACACACACCAGGATATTAACTTCAAACATTAGATTACTTATCAAGTACTCACGACATTCTCTATCCAAGGGTAATAGTTTATAATAATGAAATAATGATTTATAAAAGCAGTTAGAAGCCTGAGTAGCTTCTAACTGCATTATGATAACATGAACATAGATAAGTACGTTCATGGAGCAACTAAAAGTGTGAACAGACTGGCTGATGATGTAGTAGTCAGGGTTAGGCTTGGTGTGGCACCAGGGCCTCTTAGCAAAACTGCAAGCTCTGGGAATGGCAGGCTCTACGCTATGTCTCCTCAGTGATTACCTTCATGGTGGATCTCTAAGGGCAGTTGTCAATGGAACGGAATCAGCAAGACATCCTATTGGGGCAAGTGTTCCACAAGGAAGCATGCTGGGACCATTGTTATGGAATGTCTATTTCAAGGACATTCTTCATCTCATCAAAGAATTCCATGCATATGCAAACAACTGTACACTGACATTCACTTATCCAAGAGAAGAAATGCCAGCTGCTCTAAGCTACATCAATCACCAGCTAAGAGCTATGTCAGCTTGGGGAACTAGATAACAAGTAACATTTGCACCAGAGAGAACACAAATGATGATGGTCTCTAGGCACCATGAGGGTAATGTCGGTGCAGTAGTAAGGATGAATGAGAGGGTGTTGGTACCTAGGGGTGAAATATGGCTCCAAACTGACCATGAAGAACCACGTTGTAAATCTTGCAAACAAGG